TTTATAGCAAAACGTCACTTATTTCACTATTTTTACTTTTGTTACATTTATTTATTTACTTATTTATTATTATTATTATTATTATTATTATTATTATTATTATTATTACTATTATTATTTGCTTAAATTTTTTTAGAGTGTTATAGGTATAGCTCGAGCTCCCAAAGTGACTGCATAGCTCCAATATATTCCCATTGTGGTTTTGCTCGTTTTTTTAAACTCAGTCAACCCAATTATTTTGCTTACCAGTTTTTCTTCTTTTCACTCCTTTTACTTTCATTGTTTTGACTTAGCATTTTTTAAATTAATCATTTAAGTAATATATACTAATAATTACTCTAATTATTTTAAGCAAATTAAAACTTGTTTAATCAAATACGTAGTACTATCTAGACAAATAATATATGCTTAACTAATATTTTATATTATTAGTTATGCTCTATATCTTGAATTAATTTGATATTTCTGGTTTAGATGATTGAATTGAGTATTATAAAATTAGACACTACAAATTTTATAGTATGATGAACATTCGATATATCAAAGTAGACATTAAAATAGATTTTATTCAACAAATTTTAAAATTTCCAGTTATAAAAATGATTTATATCGTTGAAGTAACAATAGCTATAAAATTTTCATTCTTAGCAACACAATAAAATGCAATGAGTATTATTATGTCTTTATATGTCTTTTTACACTCTATCAGCCATTTCGAAACAACCAATTTTACCAAATAGTTATTTATAATCAGCTAACATAACTAGCCAGTCAAAACAGCTAACACATCTAGATGTTACCCTAACAACTGACACAACCAGCTAACAACAACAGCTAACAACCATTTACCAAACAATGCCTATATTGGACAATTTTCTCATAGAGCAACTTATACGTTGGAAAAGGCCTTTTCCACGTGTTAATTTTTTCAGATTGCAACAGAGTTATGGATTTAACTCTTTTTCTTTTATCTTTTTTTTGGGTGAAATGTAAGTATATATAAAAGACACCCAAGAAAGAGGGGTTCAGAATGTACAAGTTACAAAAGAGAAACAAAAAAGCAGGTTATCCAACATGGATAAACCTTACCCCAAACACCACAAAGCTCTAAAGCAACAGCCAAACACCAAACAAGGTGATGGTGAAGCACAAAAACAAACACAAAGCCCGCCCACAAGTAACGACCAATCACCAACAGTAATGGTCAAGCAAAAAACACCTTAAAATTTTACAAGTTCATGAGGGTAGAGGCTATACAGGATTTTGTAAACAATATATTGGATCCTAACAAAAACATCTTCTTCTTTAGGAGTGAAGCCATCAAAGCAAGTGGCATTTCGGGTCCTCCAAATCAAATAGATGGAATTGCAAGAAGCAATCCTGGCCGTCTTAGCTTTGATCCCCGAGCCTTGTCTCTCCCTCTTGATCCATTTCAACGAGCTATGGAAGGTCCCCATCTCCCTCAGAATGTCCAGCCAAGTCTTCACTTTATGCCACACCTTTCCTGAAAAAGAACAAGCAAAAAATAGGTGTGGTACCGTTTCCGACCCACCCTTACAAAAGGGCAAATATTAACAACATCTAATCTATGTAGGTTATCCAAAGTAGCAAGCCGGTTACGAAAAGCTAACCAAATCATAAAGGAGAATTTAGGAGGGGTATAGTTTTTTCAAATGAACGACATCCACATGTGAGTTCCCCCTTTAATTCTGAGAAGATTGTAAATCATGGCCGAGGAAAGCTTGCCCTTAGTTTGGCAACCATTGAGATAGTTAATGGCATCATGGGAGTTGTCAAAGTAAGACAATATTTGATCTCTAATCCGAGCAATCTTTTTGGTAAGTCGGGAGTCTCTTTTATGAGGTGTAAATTCCCAAATACCTCTACCATTAAGGTAGACCCCATGTATCCATCTAACCCAAAGGTTATCCTTTTTTGTATGGATATCCCACAACGGAGCATATTGAGCCACGACAATCTTAAGAGGGACCAAAGGAATGCCCAGATATCTTACGAGGAAAGTCCCCTACTTGAATTCGATCATATTAAAGATATATGTAAGTTCATGTTCGGCCAAGCCCCCAAGAAAAATGTTAGACTTGTCAAAGTTAACTTTAAGGCCGTAAACATTCCCAAACTCATCTAAAGCATCAATAAGGACTTTAATAGAGGGAAAATCACCTCTAGAAAAGAGCACAAGATCGTCAACATAAGCAACATGAGAGATATTAAGTTTACCACACTTGGGGTGGAACTTAAAAGCGGGAACCTTTGTTCTATTATGGAGGAGTCTGGAGAAGTACTCAAGGCAAATAACAAAAAGGAGGGGGGACATGGGGTCACACTGTTGAAGCCCCCTCTTTCCTTTGATGTTTCCATGAAGTATTCCATTAATGGAGATGGAAAAGGAAGGTGTAGCAACACATTCCATAATCCATTTAACAAATCTAGTTGGGAAGCCAATAGCTCGCATGATCTTATCCAAGAAATCCCAAGAAATAGTATCATAAGCTTTTCTAAGATCCACCTTGATCATAGATCTAGGAGACACATGCTTTCTAGAATAACCCTTGATAAGCTCTTGGGCCACCAAGACATTGTCAAGCATGTCTCCCTCCCATCAATAAAAGCCCCTTGAGAGGGGTCAATAAGGTCAGGTAAACAAGGGATCATTCTAGTAGCAATGATCTTAGTAATTGTTTTGTAAATGACATTAGTGCAAGCAATAGGCCTAAAACCGCGGCAGTAGGATTATGAGAGGTCTTAGGGATAAGAGCAATAACTGTATGGTTAAGTTGCTTGAAGAGTTTCCCATAGTTAAAAAACCCCTCACAACCAAGGTGACATGATGCCCAACTATAGTCCAATTATGCTTAAAGAAAGTCGAGGTATAGCCATCCGGCCCAGGAGCCTTGTTATCTCCAATATCAAAGATAGCATTCTTTATTCAATGTCAGAAACATGTGTCAAGAGCTCGAGAGCCTTTGTATTATTCAAGCATTTTCCAGAAAGCATGATGTTAGGATCAATGTCCTCATTTGGACTAGAAGTACCAAAGAGGTTAGTGTAGAAGCTAACAAACTCACAAGCAACGTGGTTGAGGGAGGTGGTGGAATCCCCATTAGCCAACTTAATAGACGTAATGGAATTCTTAGCCACATTCTTTCTAACAATAGAATGAAAATACTTGGTGCACCGGTCACTTTGGAATAAGTGATTAGCATTAGCTTTTTGTCTAAAAAGTCCTCCTCGGCCCTTTTGAAGTAAAGAGCATTATTTTTAGCCAGAGTGACATCAAGTTTGACAGTCTCATCAAGCGGGGAGAGTAACAAACTTATTTCTTTTATCAAAACTATATCCCTGACCAGTTGGGGCTTTATTTAAAATAAGAGGGCGTTTGGTACCCTGTTTTTCGGCTTATCAAGCTTATCAATCAATTTTTTCACCAAATACGTAAATTTTAATTCTGTGTGCTGAATTGTGTAATAATAAGAAAAAATAAGGTTCAGGTTACTTTTCTGGTTGTATTGAGTGATGTTACTGTAGATGACCATTTTATATGTTTTTTTCATATAATTTTTTATTTATTTTATTAAAAATATATTTTAAATACAATTTTTTCATAAATCAGCAGAATCAGCCAATACAGCCGCTTCACCCGGAACTTTATAAATTTGAGCAGAAATTTAGGTGTTATCAAACGGTTTCTAATAACTACTACTTTTTATTACAATCGAGCTTGAGGTACATATTTTCATACACACCTACACACTCATGTTTGTGAAGAGTATTTTTTTTTGTTTTCGTACAGACATAGCGTTTTTGAAAATTCGATATGTCTGTATACAGACAAAAAAATACTCTTCACAAACATGAGTGTGTAGGTGTGTGTATGAAAAATGTGCACCAATTTTTTGTTTTTATTATTCATAAACCCAATACCCAAGTGGGAATTACAGATTCCGAAAGCATCTTTTTATTAATTAACTATAAAAAAAGCATCTTTTTATTTATTTTTTACAACCATGATTTAGTTGGAAGTGGGAGTTTCGAATCCCCTTTTTCATCCCATAAAAGCAAGTCCCGTGTTTTTGTATGTCAGACCCAAACTTCCCGTATTTTTGTCATTTCCCCAAAATCTCTAAAACCCCTCTCAATCGACCATGAGGCCGATCTATGAAGATCATCCATTTCCGTTTCTGCTACAGATCTCGCCATAACAATAAAGTTAAGAGCAAAGATCAGCTTTCCTAATTGAGACCGCATCACCGCTCCACCTGCCGCACCGTCTCGAGAAAAGGAATCATCAACATTAAGCTTTAACCAAACCGGTAAGTTCCATCTCACAATCTTAATCCTTGGTCTTTCAATCTGAAAATTCTTAGAAATTCGTGCTTCTTCCATCAGAATAGAATAGCCCCTATGAGTCTTCATGTTCCCCATAGTAGCTGACCAATCCTGAGAGTATAGCCGATGTGTTGAACACTAATACCTGGATATGGAGGTTTATCCAACTCTCCCCAAACCATTTTGGAATAGAACTTCCAGATGTGCCAGGTGATGATTCCAGGCAAATTATGTTTGAAAACATACAAAATGGTATTCGATCCTGCCTCCGGCCACCAAGATATTAGAACCCGTCGAACAGAAATGCATTAGAAATGCCTTACATAAACATTAAATAAATTTTATAATAAATTAGTATCACATTAATTCCAAATAATAAAATATACTCCATATAAAATTGTAATATTTGACTAAGTTAAAAATAATTATCATATACTACCAATTAATATTTAATTTATATAGTATTACTAAAACTACATTGAAATATAATGTCTGTTAATTGTAATGAGAAAAGTAAACAAGATTGAATATGATTAAAATATTGATATGAAATAGAAGATTACAAGATAAGTTATTTACTTATTTTTAGTAAGGGAACTTGATGTGTATTTGGTAATGCTATGTATTTTTTGCTATTCGTAGAACATGCAAAAAGATAATGAAAAAGTTAACACCATTGGTCACTGGTTCATTTTTGTGAAGTGATTAAGGAGTTGGGATTATTATCAACTTATCCCATAATTGCAGAGGATGGGAGGAGTAAAGGGAGTTGTGTTAGACGCCTCTATACTGCTGGGTGTCCCCGTGGGCGGCGGCCACAGTGGATCACCCACTTCTCTTCTTCCGGGAGCAGAATATCTGCTTCGTGGGTTGCGGCACTCCAAAGTTCCCGCTGGAATATCTTATGAAGAAGGCCTTTCCACAGCTGAGGTGAACCTTCTTCAAGATAAAGTGAAATTATATTCCTTTGATTCTTTCTTCTTGAGATCCGGCAAAGCTGCTGACTTGGTGCATGAGGTTTCTATGGCATGGGGTGACAAAGAAGGAAGTTTTATGTACATAGTTTCTGATTATAAAAAGGACCCCTTTCTAGGACTGGATAGTACTAAATGGATAACGGTCATTCTTCGACATCCTGGCCAAGAATCAAAAGATGATATCATATTTGCTAGTACAAGCAAAATTCCACGCACAATTTTTATTAACAAAGTTGAAGAGGTTCCCTTCATCATCTGCCTTTTCAACAAAAAGTCAATGGGAAAGGATGTTCTGATAGTTGGTTATTTGATGAAGCCTTCACGTGGAGAAGATTTTGCCAAGAGAGGTGCATTCCCCTGGAATCCTACACAGAACGGGTTGATTTTCGTGCCCATTACTTATGAGCTACCCATATCATCTCAAGTGGAAAACATTGATGGGCTTCTCCTTAAAGCAACTGATGAGATTGTATCAGCAGAAATGAACAGTTCTTCAGAATTTACAAATAGAATATTGTTCACAAAGGGCATGCAAGAATTGCTAAGGTGGACTGAACAAATTAACTGCCCCGTGATTGATCCATGTAGTAACATATACTCTATATTGGATCGCCTGAAAATCCAACAACTTCTTCTTGGTTTGGAAAACCTTAATTCAGAAGGCCAATCAAAAATCAGGGGTCCCCATTTTCTCAAGTTAAGTTGCTTTGGTGAGTCCCAGTTGGAAAAGAGATTAGTAGAGGCTAAGTTGAGCCTTCCAACTATTGTTAAACCTCAAGTTGCTTGTGGTGTGGCAGATGCTCATCATATGGCCATTGTATTTAAAGTAGATGACTTCAAAGACCTCAATATTCCTCTTCCAGTTGTTGTGCAGGAATATGTGGATCATTCATCTACTTTGTATAAATTCTATGTTGTGGGGAAGAAGGTTTTTTATGCAATTAAGAAGTCTACACCTAATGCAGACACCTTGATGAAACTATCTGAGGGAAATGAGTTAAAGCCATTGTTGTTTGACAGCTTACAATCTCTGCCTATGGATAAAGAGAACACACAATCTGGAGATACCGAGTCTAAGAGTTGTGGTACTAATAAAGTTATCAATCTTCAACTTGTGACTGATGCTGCTAATTGGCTCCGGAGTACGTTAGACCTCACAATCTTAGGCTTTGACGTCGTGATTCAGGATGGCACAGGTGACCACATCATCGTGGATGTAAACTACCTGCCTTCTTTCAAAGAAGTCCCTGACGATATAGCCATGCCTGCATTTTGGGAAGCAATAAGGGATAAGCTTGACCAGGCCAAAACTATGGCTACCTAGTCCGCTTGTCTGCCATATGGACACTGATTTATGTACTCGGTCATTTGGCTGCACATCTATACTAGTGTTGTGTTTCTTTCAATGGCTCTTTTGGTCCATTCCGCAACAATGTGTAGTTCCAAATCTGCATGTGAAGCATAGAGTAACCCCTTTCAACTTGAAATGATTATAGCGAAATTGTAACTTTTTTATTTGACGAAAGCGAGACTTTAACTAAAAAAAGGATTATTTTTATTAAATGTAAAAAGTACATTATTAAAGTACATTTCACCTTTAGTATTTGTAGGCACTATATCATTAAAATAAAATGCAAATAAAACTTAAACGCTTTATTTTCCGTTTTTGAAACTGTTGGATTAGTTTTGGATATGAGACCTACGTTTGACAAAATAGTTCTAGTAGTACCTGATGGTACCCATCAATCTCGTCGGATCTGTTGACTGAAATAACCTTGCAAGACCTATCTGATAAGAACAGGAAAATAAAATCAACGGGGTAACCCGTTGCCCAAAATAATCAACGGCTGGATCCGTTGCGCAGAGCTAAATAGCTAAAACCAATATTATTAATGCCTAATTTGAATAAGCCTAGACAGGGGTTTATATAACCCTTACATCCAAAATTGAATAGGAAACTAAATCCTAGTAAGAAACATAATAGGAGTCCTAATTAAACCATTCAAGGAAACTAAATAGAAATAGGAAACCTCTAATTAATAGAAGTCATAATTAAATCATACTAGGAAACAAAATAAGTTAGGAAACAAAAGAAAAGGAATAATTAAAATTAATTAAATTGCTCGCAGCCAGCCCACGAAGGCGGGCTCAAGCCCGTCCCGCCCCATGCTATTCCCGCTTCATATCAATCCATCCTCCTTAAAATTAACCTTGTCCTCAAGGTTGAAAACTCGCGGATCGGGAACTGAAATTTCCAGACATAGTATAGACTGGAAAATATCCTTCTTCTCTTTCCGGGACCTTTTCTTGGCCGGTTATTTCACAGAATTCATGCTGCTTGAGGTCCAACTCTTCATCCTCCTCAGTTATCATTACCCGCAGCTGCTTAAAGGGACAGTCATGTGTTGGTGTAAATGGTTTCTTGCACCTAAAGCATAATCCTTTCGCCCGCAGTTCTGCTGGCGGAAGTCGAGTGAACTGAGAGCGTGTCGTAGGCTGCCCAGACAACCCTGACTTCATCCCCGGAGGTTGTCCACTATCTTTCGCAAAGCTGCCCTCCGAACCCTGTAAGCTGCCACCAATGGCAGTCAACGGGGAACCTGTGTTTGCCCTTAACAGGCTGCTAGAACGTACCCCTGAGGAATGATAATTCAGGCTGCCACTTTCTCCACTTTGGACGGACAGATTATACTCCACTTCGCAAGCTAATTCCATAGCCATCTCCAGGTTGTTTGGTCGGAGCAATCGCAGCGAGCTTCGGATTATCTCCTTAAGACCGCTCATGTAATATCCCAAATAGTGCTCATCGGGTAACCCTAGAACTTGGCTTGCTAGCTGAACAAACAAGATATTGTAATCTTCTATAGACCCAATTTGCCTGACTCCGGACAATCGTTCATACTTATTCCCCTGAAATCGAGAATCAAATCTGTCCACCAAGGCTTGCTTGAAATCTGCCCAAGTCATCCCAGGTCTGCGCGATCTCAGCCAGGTCACCCAGTAAAGCGCTCCTCCTTCCATAGCTACCATCACGGCAACCACCTTCTTTTCCGGTAAAGTGTTGTGTAATTCGAACTGTTGCTCTACCCGAGCGATCCACCCAATTGGGTCTCCCCCATCGAACGACGGAAGCAGCGTTATAGTTGGATTGCTCAGCACGCCTTCTCCATGCAGCTCGGTTGCCGGGATTCGACCCACGCCATCCGCGGCTTTCTTCGGTGTGACCGGCGGGACCATCGCCTGGGTCAACGCCGCTAGTGAGGCGATGATCTCCGACAGCTTGCCACCATGCTCTGCCTGTTCGGCCCTTATCCGGGTCACTTCTTCTCTCATACGAGTTTGTTCGTTCTCCAGCTCTGTCAATCGATCATTTTGAGATCTCGTCATCTTGGCGGGACGGGATCCGGCAGGTCGGACCAATTGATAAGAACAGAAAAATAAAATCAACGGGGTAACCCGTTGCCCAAAATAATCAACGGCTGGATCCGTTGCCCAGAGCTAAATAGCTAAAACCAATATTATTAATGCCTGATTTGAATAAGCCTAAGCAGGGGTTTATATAACCCTTACATCCAAAATTGAATAGGAAACTAAATCATAGTAAGAAACATAATAGGAGTCCAATTAAACCATTCAAGGAAACTAAATAGAAATAGGAAACCTCTAATTAATAGAAGTCCTAATTAAATCATACTAGGTAACAAAATAAATTAGGAAACAAAATAAAAGGAATAATTAAAATTAATTAAATTGCTCGCAGCGAGCCCACGAAGGTGGGCTCAAGCCCGTCCCGCCCCATGCCCTTCCCGCTTCATATCACTATCATCCCCTTTGAAGAACAAATCTAACTCCCACGGAATCTTGAGGCTCCCAATCTTGTGCTTTGTCACATTGATCTTCGGGAAAGGGAATAGTGTCAAGGTGTTGTCCTTGTAGGCATGTGTGGTATTCCAGTATGGCAGAAGTAAGAGTACATGCATGGTTGATCTACTGATGAGGAACAAAACCGCAGGAATGGTTTGTGATGTGGCGGCCCAGAAGACCCAAAGTTGGAATTGTCGTAGATGACAATGTCATAGGAGCAAGAGTTGAGGACAAAAGAGCAGTTGAAGCCGGCGGCGATGAAGGAATGGGAGAGCATTGGGAGGAGGCACTAGGAAAGCTAGACCACTTGTGAGTTGTGATCTGATGGTGACGGTGGAGGTCAACGCTGTGGGAGGGTAAGTGACCGCCACCACCATTGGTCCTTCGGTGACCTCCGAGCCCAATGATGTTACGGTGAAGTACACATCTGCTTTATTTGCTCTAAAATCTATTAATATCTAAAGGAGCAGTTTTTTTGTGAATAGTGTTCCCTCCCATTTATGTCAACATCATGGTTTAGTTCATTTTTCATCAAAAATTATTGCAAAAACAATTTTTGTGCTCAGATTTTTGAAGGCACGAGAATGTGATTTGCACATGTTGGTGAGATCAAAATTGTCCAATTTTTATTGGCCAACAAAAAGGTTAACAGTTCACCAAAACACATCGTATGTTTCTATTGGTTGATGCATGCGGTTACACTATTCATCAAAAAAGGTAGGTTTGCTTGCACAATTCTACAAATCTCCTATTGGTTCAACCAGGTGGTGAAATCTTAGTGTGTACGTGTAAAATGAAGGCAAAGATTTGGTGTTTTCAATGCTTGATTTCTATTGGTCAGGATGGGTGGTGTAATAGTAAACTCATTTATTGTTTCAACTAATTGGCAATGCTCAACTTCCTATTTAAATAGGATGCGGATGCAATCATCCTTCACAGCAAAGACCACATAGCTTTATACACAAACTATTTCTCTAAAAATGGACGGAATTGGTTGATGATTGGGGAAAGGGCAACAAGTGTATCAAGATCTTGCACATGATGGCTTCCGGAGTTCCGGCCATCTTTGGATGTCATATTTTATGATGGAGGTCCTGAGATTTTCTTAGTGTTTTTTAACTTCTTTGGTTACCATTGATTTTTAAACCGACTGTTTTGTAATGGTTTTTTGTCATCCTATTTCTAAACATGTTTTTATGATAGCGATAAAGTTTTTTGTAACCATTGAATCTAATGGATTGGTTCCAAAAACACAGTGTGATGTTATAATTGTAAGAGGATAAAAAAAGTGGGTTCAAGAGACATACCTGAGATCACTGCTTCTGCTACAATCCTAATTATATCCTAATCCAAGCCTAATTATTAAATTATTACATTCCAAACTTGCAATTTGAGATACATGTAATATTTTACATTTCAAGGAGATACAAAACAAAGAAACAATAATCACCCAGAGAAAATGTATCCATAGACCTGCACTCCAAATGAAAGTTGTAATTAAAAAGAATTGAATATTGTATTTTATATTTATTGACCAATTTGCTATAACGCCCAAATTGAAGTATAAAATAAAAACCTTAATGGGAGAACCTTGAGATTTCTAACTACTTGAGATCAACCAAATTGAGTGGCTTGAAAATAGAAAATCCTTACCGATATTCAAGGAAGGGGGTAAGGGGAGAGGAAGATCTTTGGGGGGGGGGGGGGTGTTGGGGTAACCCATGTGGGAAGAGGGTAAATGACAAGGATGATGTTTGGTGAGCAAGAAAGGGTTGGGTCGAGGCTGATTGATAGAGAGGCAGATGGGAAGAAGGAATGTAATTTAGGGTAAAGAAATGAAAAGTAAATAAATAAAATAATTTATTAGGATGAAAAGGATAACCTATAGATAGATGACCATGTAGTGTTGATTCACTTAATCTGATCAGCCCACGGCTGGATTACTTCTCTGTGCATGCTTCCATGCTCCAACCTCTTATCAAGAAAGAAATTATAGGATGTTTAGAGGTTTGAAAACTAGGGGGAAAAAAATTAAAAACAGGTAAACAACTAATCAGAATCAGAATCAATTCCAAACACCCTAAGAATATTTGGAAAAAAATATACTCCGTATGAATAACATTAATATATACCTTGGCTTTAGTCTGGCTTTTCTTTTTTAACAATGAAAATCGCAGTTGTTGTCTCCAGGCACACTTCAAACAAAATTGCAGTTGAGACATAACATTTGCTATTTTTCGAAAAAATGAATAGATATTCGTAACCAGAGTACATTTTATTTGAGTATAATTTTTTACATCAATTGTTTCATACGGAATACAGATACAAAAACACCAACGAAATAAGGATATAATTATGAACGCATACTTACAGATCTGTGAGGTCTATCGCTTTTGAATGGTGTTATGAATATCGAAATCCGATTAAGTTAGTTTCAATAATCCAATCGTGTAGTAGAGGGTTTGTGTCTTACCGTGGTCATGTATTTTTAGTGGCGGAAATCTAGGAGCTCGACACACACTCGGTTCATTGATAGGTGAAGCTCAAATAGGATTATCATCTACAGTTGGACAAAAAGGTGATGGCGTGATTAGTTTTAGGGTGACTCCCTGATGAAGAAGTATAGTTTAGGAGTGGTTTGGGTTTAGGGTGAACAAGACTAATGGCCGTCCAGTAGTGACGCATGCGGCAAATTAAGTTGGGCTTCTGATAAGTTGGGCTACATTTTTTTTGCAAATTAATGGCCTATTAAATGACCAATTACAAATTACAAAGGGATAACATGTTGGGCTATGACATGCCCAACATTGTCAGACATTATTTATTTGATTTCATTTTGTTCTCCTACATAAGTGGACACACAAATGTACAAAGTCTATTCTTAATGTTTTTAATATGTTCAAATTACTTTTTGGATTATATTGGAAATAATAATTAAAATAATATAAACTATAAAAAGTGGTACATTTCATATGATTATATTTTGAACCCATTTGATAAAATTGAAATGGACTTAATCAGTTGTATTTTAGTACTTCCCCCGTTCCAAATTGACTTTGCAAAGTCTATCTTAATTTTGGGTCAGTTTTATTTCATTCACTTAGAATATCAATTTTCATTATATTCATCAATTATTTTACAATTTTATAGAGATTTTAAAAAAGTTTGAGAATATATAAATTTTGATTATTAAAATTGAATTAATTTTCGTAATGATGTTGATTTATGAAAAAAGTTATATTAAACATATATTTTATTAATAAAATAAGGAAAAATTATATGAGTAGATATATTAAATGGTTACCTGCATTAACTTTAGTCAGTACAGCTATAAAAGTAACTTCAACTTAACCTTACCTTTTCTTATGATAACATAATTCATTGTGTGGAATCAAAAGTTTCGTATATGGTCAAAAAGTTGGCTGATAAGCCGAAAAACAGAGTCACCAAAAGTGTTATTTGAGTAATCTGTATATTTTTGAAGTAGTTTTTCATATATTTGTAAAAATTGTTGATTAATTTAAATACATAAAACAGAAGAAAAATCGAATTACTAGATTTAAATACATAAAACAGATATTGATCAATTTACTAGATTTATTTTTTCTGAACTACAATAGCACGTCAAATTGGCTAGATTGGTTGTGTATTGAAAGTAAACATGCTTACACGATTTCTTTACTTCTTTCATTTAGAGACTCGATCGAGATGTTCCAAATAGTAGAAAGAACTATTTGAAATTTTCCTACAAATTCATAAACAACAACCTCCAAGCCTTAATCTCAAAAGAATTCGGCATCGACTAACATGAATCGATCTATGATATCTATTATCTATTAATATAAAAAAGCAAACTTCTTTGATGAATAGGGTTCCCCCCAAAAATGTCAACATCATCAGGGGCGGAGTCAGGACACTGGGCCGGACTGGGCCGGTACAAAGAATATTTTTGGAAAAAAATTTAAACGGAATTTTTTACACTAAAAATATAGAGATTTTTAAAATTTAGGCTGGGCCAGGGCCAGGGGTGGCCACCCCCTAGCTCCGCCCCTGAACATCATGCTTTTGTTCATTTTTCCATTAAAAAATTGCAAAATCCTTAAACAAATGTCAAAATAAATACAATACAAAATAATTAGTCCGTATATAATCTAAAGATATTACATCCATCAGAACATAAAGTTTTGTAAGCAACCAAATCCTATTGGTACAAAGATGTAAACAAGTATTTTGAACATAGTAACTATGCTTAACATGTCATATTTTCATAAACAATCTTTATTTTAATCGTATTTGTGTAATCATTTAAAAAAATTATATACATATATACCTAAATAACATTATATGCATAAATACTTCTTTGAAGATTTTCTCATAAATTTATATTTAGGTTTAGTTTAGGAAAGACATAACACATTTTCACATATCTGCACACCCCCTGATTTGCCAGGTTACATCAGCAATTCGTCTAAATAATGCAATTCGTATAGATAAAGACATAACACATTTTCACATATCCGCACTCCCCCTGATTTGCCAGGTTACATCAGCAATTCGTCTAAATAATGCAATTCGTATAGATAAAGACATAACATATTTTCACATATCTGCACACCCCCTGATTTGTCATGTTACATCAGCAATTCGTATAGATAAAAGATAAAGACATAACACATTTTCACATATATGCGCACCCCCTGATTTGCCAGGTTACATCACCAATTCGTCTAAATAATGCAATTTGTATAGATAAATACATAACACATTTTCACATATCTACACACCCCCCTGATTTGCCAGGTTACATCAACAATTCGTCTAAATAATGCAATTTGTATAGATAAAGACATAACACATTTTCACATATCTGCACCCCCCTGATTTGCCAGGTTACATAAGCAATTCGTTTAAATAATGCAATTCGTATAGATAAAAACATAACACATTTTCACATATCTGCACACCCCCCTGATTTGTCAGGTTACATCAGCAATTCGTCTAAATAATGCAATTCGTATAGATGTAATGTCACCATATTATTAGTAATTATAAAAATTTATACCTTCAGTTAACCTATATAGACCTTTGATTTGAAAAAGAAAAAAATCTTTGTCAAAAATTTACTTGAATGAAGGATTTTAATAAGGGAAAATTTTTGAATATGAGTAAATGAGTTTGAGAATTCCAAAATAAGATTGTCATGTTTTTTATTGCCAAATAGGCGTAATTAATGTAAGGCTTGAAAAATATTGTCATGCTTAAGGTCCAATTTTGGAATACATAAATTTTTTTTGTCCTATTTAGTGTAATTTCCCTTTTAACAAGGGTTAATGCTAGACACAAGGTACAAAGAAGTGTTTCATAAAATTTGCCATGGAATGTAATTTGTTTTCAAATGATGTTTATGTTGGGTGTTACTTACTATTTTGCGGGCTATAAAAAATAATGTACTACTCTGTAATCATTAGTAAATTGTAATTTATATGTTTCATTTACGTCAAGTTTTATTATTGTATGGAGTATAATTCTAAACAATTCAATTAAAATTACAAGTTTGTTTATTTTTTAATTAAAATGTTGGCTAATGTTAATTATACCCGCGGAATTTCACCAATCGTGCATTGCACGGGTATTGATGAAGAAGAAGGAACCACTGAACAAGACTCAGAATGTTGTATTAAAAAAGTGTTCAACAATGTTTAGAGTTACATGAAATGTATATTTACAATGTTATGATTTCTAAGTATTTGTTGGATGATTTTGATCTTTTAAGTAATGTTTAGTGCTCTCTTTTTAACTATAATATATATTTTAAGTGTGTTTTGTTGATTGCTTCAAGTTATATCAATATTCCATGAAGATAGATACTCTCATCAATTGATAGTGTAATTTGAATTAGTGAACACAAACAAATTTGAAGGAAAATTCTCAAACCGTGCATCGCACGGGTGAGTTTACTAGTTAGTTGTAAAACAACAGTTTGCTTCATAGTCAAAATTGACTTTATTTGCCTATTATGTTTATATTGATTTGGGAATATTGTAAATTATGTCTTATAATTTTTTTGTTGTGTCCATTTAAGTTCTCTAACTGCACTCACTTGCATATTTAGTTCGGTAACTATTAAAGTTTCAGGACTCATAACATGAGTGTCATTAAGTTACAAGAAAATTTAAAATGATTAACTTTTGATCATTTAATTGACATTTTTACCTTTTTGGAGCACTCGTTACATGGAGATATCATATTAATTAAATAGTTCTTGGTGACAAACAATACTCTGATTTGCCCTTTTTATTTTTTTCTAAAAATAAAGCATTGAAGCACTTGATTGGGACACATGAGCAAGAAAACAAAAAGTCATGATGAAGTTTTTTGGAAAAACTGTCAAATAGACCCCCCTATACTTACTAATACAAAAAAGTCAATTAAGCCCCTGAACTCAAAAAACACTCAATTAAGCCCACGAACTATAAAAAACGAGGCAAAACAGTCCTTTTACCAGGTAATTAAGCGGTTAAAAAGAGATAAGGAAAAAAGGAAAGAAAGAGAAAAAGCGAAAAAGAAAATGTAAAAGCATGTCACATCATTTGTCACACATGCAACTTAACTGAGAACGGTTAATATCTTGCTAAAAGGACTGTTTTGCCTCGTTATATTTAGTTCGTGGGCTTAATTGGATGTTTTTTGAGTTCGGGGGCTTAATTGACTTTTTTGTATTAGTAGGGGGGCCTATTTGACACTTTTCCGGAGTTTTTTCAAAGGGAAGACATTTCATGTCTCAACCATCACTTCGATTCATGCTCCTATTAAAGTGGTAACACATTTGGAGCTAGGAACAATTTTTTAGCTCTAAGTTGTGTGAGTGATGGTGCATGCTTCATTTCAGGGGTAAATTGAAGCTAAGCATATTTAGTTGACCTCTAAATCGCTGAATTACCTAAGGATTAACGAACCATTTTTCAATACTTTGATTGTGAATTACTATAGCCAAATTGTTCAAGACATATCCATACAAATACAAAACTGTCACAATAGAATGCTTAATTTCCCTTTCTGATACCTGTATTTATTGGTGCACCCATCGCTAGAACAAAGCAATCATGGGAAATAGGATGGAATTTGGAACTGGTCACATCCCCTTATTCATTAAGCGTAATCTCTCTTTTTATGTGTGTATACACATGTGTTCTAGCCTATGTTTCCCTAGAAACGTAGGAAATTAAACATGGGTAAATGGAAAATGAGAAACATCATCTTTAAATAGAAAAACACTTGTTTGGAGAGTTTCCAAAAATTAAGAGTTTTTAAAATGCGGGAAACATAGGTTCTCACTATGATTATGTTAAAGAGTGTGAGACTGATGCAATGATAAACACTAACTTGTAACATATTATATATGATGTTATGATTGGTTAGCCAGTGTTGTCAACTCTGAAAATATCGTGCCTATATTCATGGACCATTGCTAAGGAGTCCGACTTATGCGACAAGCCGACAATGTATAATCTCATATCCATAATACTTGTTGCAATGAGTTCATATGCTTCCATGCAAGTATTTATATTGGGAGGTTAGCTACGTTTTTTTATACATAAGTTTTTTATGTACAATAACTTATGCTTGTCATTTAAAACTGTATATGTACATAATTCATGTCTATCTACATGTGATTAGTTGATCGGGATGCCCATAGTAATTGTGGGGCTATAGCTCTTCCTTTGAGGAAAGAATATAGAGAGGAAGAGCATAGTTCAATCATCGATATATGAAGTTCAACCTGTTGCTGAAGTTCTATCAATGGAAGAAGCTACTCTTTATGTACAATCATCCTAAACGCATGAAAAAATTAATGGTGTTTAGAAGATTGTAACTCATATCTAGCTAGTTGTTTTGTTATGTAATGTAGATGTGTATGTAGGCTAAAATAGAGCATTTGCAATTAGTTTTTTGCTAACGAAATAGTATTATCTAGAAACTGCTCACACTTAACGTGAAGCTTGTTAAGGGAACATGTTTTTGACAATTTAACTATAAATGGTGGAAATGTACAGGAACCTAAGACTCACGGCAACACAAAATTCTTCTCCAACTCCCAAGGATGTATAATCCTCAACGAATTTATGCTTCATGGAGTACTAGGTACAAGTATATTCCTACCATCTACAGATACATTGTCAAAAACTTATTACCTTAATTAAGAGTAAGCGGTTTATGGATAATATAGTATTTCACTACCAATGAATTAGTAGTAAGCGCTCTATTTTAGCCGAGACATATATCACACAACCAAATGCCTAGCTAAAACGTGTCACAATATTCTAAACACGATCAATTTTAGCACATATATTTAGGATGGTTTTACATGACCAATAACGTCTTTCATTGGTAGAACTTCAGCATCAGGTTTAGTTTCATGTCTTGATGATTGTACTATGCTCTTACTCTATATATATATATATTCTTGCCCAAAATAAAGATGTATAGCCCTGCCATTACTATGGGCATCCCGATATGATCTAGCTACAATTATCGCGTGAAGATAGACATGAACTATGTATCTATATCGTTTTGAATGAAAATATTAAGTTATATATCAAAAACAACTATTGAGAAAGACAAGTAGCAAACCTTAAACATGGATGGTTGCAAGAAGAATATGAACTCAATTATTGCAACCAATATGCATGAAGGAAATACTACAGGGCCCAACCAAAATTAAAATCCATTTTTTTTAAAAGTGTTATACTTCGTAATATTTTATTTGTACTCCAATTTTTACAAAAATATATCAAGTTACAAAATACACGGAGGTTCAACTGCTGAAGATTTTCAGAACCAAAATTTATCTTAAATACATTCAAGTGCTAAAATTAAGATATCATGGTTATCATTTTTACATCTTTCAATTTTTTTTATAATAGATCTGAAGTAAGAACTAAAAATATACTCCAAATTTCTTTATTTATATATCTGAATGTTTGACTTTTAAAATGATAGGTATTCACAAACAATTGGCAATAAATAATGTACAATAATAAAAGTAGGGCTTTAGTAAAAAAAATCTTTCGAAAATTATGGATTGTGGTGGATTGCAAGAAAAACTGAATTGACTTAATAAATACGTAGTATATATAAATTGGTGAGAAATTTGTGTTTTTGTGAGAGTTGTGATTAGCCTTACATGTTACTATCGGAGTGTCTAATTTTGTGGTGGGCTAGAATGATTAATTAAATTTAATTACGTGATATTAGAATAAATAGAGATTGTGGATAAATAAGGGATTCAATTGAAATTCCTGAAAATCTTCTTCTACCGATTTCACAAGATCCAATTGCAACTATTACTGAGAATATGTATCCAGAATATATATCCAAATGTGTCTGAAGATTTTAGCTACTTTAAAGAGAGAGCTATTTTAGCACTAACTTTATACGTTGTCGATGAGATCAATGACTACATGATTTCGCTTAATAAATCTCAACCATGAAGCACTTATTCGAGTTCAGAGGCTATATACAAGTCAAATTATAATGTTGATTTTCTTGCACACTTTACCATTTTAAAATAAGATTTGTCTTTTTGGTCTAGCCAATCATGAGCTCACACTGAAAATATGTACCTATGTGATGCTTCTGTGAAGCATAGATCATTCAATGAGATTATGTAATGGTACTAGACTCATAATTAGGAGTTCAGGTGATCATATTTTAGAGGTTAAGGTTATCACTCCATGGGTGGATGCATTCTCACTCCAAGGTCATCACTAACGCCTTTAGATGTGACACTTTCTTTCAAATTTTAGAGGAGACAATATCCAATAGTCGTTGCTTATCAATAACTATAAACAAAAGTTTGAGTCAGTCTCTCTCATGTAAAGAGTTGTTGAAGAAGTCAGATTTCTCTCATGTTCAGCTCTACATTGCTGTTTCAACAATTACTCATCGAAAGGGCATAAAGTTTTGTTGGTGGATGGTGACAATTAAAGCATAATGAAAATAAACCATGTTGTCTACAAAGAAGTTTTTCAAAATTTAACCAAACATTCCAGCCCAGCTGGTTGTGAGGTTACCGTGTCTAGTGAGAGGTTTCAAGTTCGAAACCCGCTAGACACATAAGGGTTTGAAACTCAATGGAGTGAGTTTCAGCCCTGATTACTCCAGACTCCCCCCCAGCCCCCACTCCCAGACCCCAGAGTAAAAATATATAATAAAAAAAGAAGAAGAAATTTTTCAAAATTTGTAGAACTCATGTTGCAATTTATTATTAGTAACAGTACAAGTAGTACTATTAGTTGTTCTCTTTTAATTGAAATACAAATGTTTTTTGTTGCATATTATTATTTTCATTTTTTTGAATAGTTCGTATCAAATTTGTGTGCCGTGCATCGCATGGGTGAGCTACTAGTTTTTTTTTTAGGTAATTTGAGTTTGCACCTCATATTATTGTCCAAATTGGACTTTGCATTCTGATTTTAAAAAAAAAATTGTTTTTGCACCAAACCCCACATGAAAAGACGAAAATGCCCCTCAATTAACAATTTTGTTGGCCTTCAACATATTCTTGATCGAGGGGCATTTTTGTCTTTTTATACAGGGTTGGGGTGCAAAAACAAAGATTTTAAAAAACGGGATGCAAAAGTCCAATTTGAATAAAAATATGAGATCCAAACTCAAATTACTTGTAGAGTACTCAGTATAATTTGCCGGAGCCCGGAAGAACTCACTCATGCCTTAAGGCTTAAACTGAGCTCGAGTTGTGCCATATACATTTACAGAGAGCACTTCATCATCCACATCAGTGTCGGGGAGGGAAAGAAATGGAGGCAGCAGAGCCACAGACCTCATCTCAAGCTGCAGCAGGATCTCGATACGCTTTACAGCCGACTCGAATCGCAAGCGAAGATATACTGTTCTGTATTGATGTTGACGCCGAATCCCTGGTCGAAATGAAGACAACCTCTGCGAGTGGGAGACCTTATACCCGATTGGATTCCATCAAGCAAGCTATCATCTTCTTCATCACGGCCAAACTCACCATAAACCCAGATCATCGATTCGCCTATGCAGCTCTAGGAAAATCTGCTTTCTGGGTACCATTTTCTCTCTCTTTAACCAATATTCTAAATTTCTAATTACCCTCTGATCCTAGTTTATGTGGAATATTTGTATGTTTTTTCAACTGCAATTTCTCTTAACTTCATGCAAGTGCGGTGCGGCTGTTTAGTTTTTAAAGTTGATTAAATTAGTAGGTTTTTGTACACTTAAATTAGCAGGTTTTAAATTTGACCATCAAGAACAAATCTTCCTAGGTTTTAGTTGCAGGCTGACGATTTAAAACTTAAAACTGTTAAGAATCTACTTAGCAAATTTTGCAAACTGATGCCTCCAACCTGGGGGGATAACATTTGCTTAGGTATCTCTATTTGTTTTCATGCTATATTTCCCCTTATTTAATGTTCCTTTATTATTGGGCGGTTCAACAAGGATATTCACCAAATCAATTGATCTTCTTGATATCTGATTTTTTAATTTTGAAGCTCCGTAAAGAGTTCAGCAGTGATGTTGATTCTGCTATATCTACATTTCGGGCCATCTCAGTGGATTCATCATCATATGGCCATGCTGACCTAACTCAACTATTTAGAATAGCCTCTCATGAAGCAAAGAAGTCTCGTGCTCAGAATAGGATACTCAGGGTGGTAAGCATTCACATAAATGACATAATCATGGATTCTCTGTACTCAATTCTAGTGTTTTTTTTTCTTATTTTAAGGTGTTTTGTAAATGAAATACTCCTTTCCTCCTAATTTATTTTCATGTTTTCCCTTTGGTTTGTTCCTAATTAATTTTGTGTTGGTATTGTTTCACATATTCCAAATCAACTCTCGGCCACACTTCTGAGTAAGCGTGTGAAGTCAAAACATGGACATCATCTCATGAAAGTGGGTGTCTGTAATACTGTGACTCGCAAATGTTCCTCACTTGACATGAAACCTCTTAAATAATTACATTTGTCAATATCCTTAACCCAATGGGAAGGGCACATGAAAGTTAGGTATTGATTACATCATCTAATCATATTAGAACATAGAAATTGCACTAATTTGTATATTTGGTTATGGGAAAAAGATATCTATCAACTTTAGCGATGTATGGTATTTCATGGAGTATGTTGGTCTTCCTTCCATTGTATAAAAAAATGGATTATGTTGGTCATTTATACATCTATGTCTAGAATTGCAATTTTCTCATTCTCTTTTGATTTCATTTTCCAGTTGGGAACTTGATTTTTGTCATTATTATATTTGCTCAACGCCTGTTTTTACTTTAAGGATGTTTAACATCTTAATATATTTTAGACTATTGACTACGCAGTAGTTAAATACTCTGATAGATTGATCATTCATTTATACATAAAAAATCAACTTAAGCATATTAGGTCAATATCATTTAAAGGGCTATGGTTTAGACGGGTAGTTTAGGGTCTCGTGTCTTAGCTGGACCTATCAGGTGGAGTGTATGAGATAATGCGTGATTAAGTACTATATTTCCTTCTAGTAAACACAGTACATAATACTCTAATAGCAAGCCATGCTGTGATTGTTAACTTTAACAGTTAACGATTAGGAACTAGCCAAATTGCGTAAGGTTTCTTAAAATTCATTTTTTTCTCCAGTTGATTATGAATTTCTTGTAAGCTAGCCCAATATAACTTGATTTCAAAAAATATGATACAATATAATGGTCAATTGATAAAAAATGGACAATATTTTGATAAAAATGAGTAAGTCGCAGAATTAAGTTCAACCCTAGCTCCATCCACCCCTGCAAGCTTTTGGTATCAGTCGTCAAGTATATTCAATGTGTATAAGTTGGTTTAACTTAACTTATCATGACTCACTTTTATGTGATCTTTTTGGCAAAAACATGAAAAATTAGGTGTACTTGATCATATGCGACAATTTGTTTTGTAAACAAAACAAAGGAGGAGGTGTTTGAAAAATGACCAGCTTCTTTTTTTGGAACGGAGTACACATACACACTCTACAAGTCAGAGAGTCCTTTAGGTGTATTGGTGTTACTTTGAGTGCTATATGCACATCTTACTTTGTGTCGCTGCACTTAGCTTTTCTTGTGTTTCGTTATTGTATCTAAGTGGTGCTCTATTTTACTAATTGTGCTGTATTGTGATTTGCCATGTCAAAATCATGGAATTGAATTAGGATATTTCTCCATTTTTAGTGTTTAGGGTCTGCCGACTTTTAAAGACGAGAATTATTTTTAGGCTTGAATCTGTTTCTAAAAGATACTGCAATAGAAGATGATGAAAGTTTTAATTTGTTTGGTAAGAAGTAGCCCTTAAGGACTCGAGTGATGAATTGTTGAAAAAGAGCAGAAGATCTAATAAACCACACCAAGTCTTTTCATGATAAAAGACTACCAGTCAACAACGTTGACAAGATTTTAATGCATGTGAGATTTAATGAAAGAGACTAATCTTTGCTTCCATCTTTGAGACTAAACCACATTTTGCTGCAGAATTTTTTATTTGAATTGATGAACTCTTTTCCATAAGAGCAAGCACTATGATTCCATTTGAATGCTTTGGTCACGTTAAATTCTTTTCTCATTTTTAATTTATTTGTCGTTTTCTGTATAAACTAACCGATAGTGCATTTGAAACCAGTTGACTGACGAGTTTTGGTTTCAGATTCTACTGTACTGTAGGTCATCAACACCACCAACACATCAATGGCCTGCTATTCAAAAGCTATTCACTTTGGATGCAATATACCTCCATGACAAGCCAGGACCTGAGAATTGCCCACAAAAGGTGTATGATGCCCTAGTGGAGGCCTTGGAACTAGTGAGTGAGAATGAGGGTTACATATTTGAGAGTGGGCAGGGCAGTCTCCGTGTTTTCCTTCGACACATGTCTGTTCTGTTATCCCACCCCCAACAGCGTTGCCTGCAAGACTATATTGACTTGCCAAAATCTCTGGCGAAAAAGTCACCTCTGACTGAGTCCACACCAGCTGATGAGAATGCCATTGTATCTATCCAATAGCATGCACCAGAAATTAAACACTTGAAGCATATCGGTGTTGTGTTGATCTTTAAGTACTACACTTTAGAATATATTTGTAATTTTGTCATTACTTCGGCTTTACACATTGGCCTCCTACAAGCTCTTTGTGCTGTCAAAAATGTTTGGCTCAAATCGAAGTCCAAGTTCTCTGTTGGGTCCTTGGTGGTTAAGAATTGAGTTTGATCTAGAACTTGAGATCATGGGTGCTACCGTGCTACTCTAAAAAGGAATCATACATTGCAGTTAAGGCGTTTTGAATTTCTTTTTCCAAAATTTGCAAGTTAAATAGCTATTAAATTTTTTAAATTGCATAGATAAACATTTGTTTAAAGGGAAAAGGTATAAATATACCTTGTACTATAGGTGTGAGAACAAATATACGTATGTTCTATTTTCTGGAACAAATATACTCCTGAAGTGTATGTGCAAGTGCATATATATCCTTGCACTTTTTAAAAGGTGCAAAAATACCTCTCATGTTCTTATAAATGAGCAAATATACCCTTGTTGACTTTAAATTGATAAAATAAATTTCAAATCAACACCAAAGATAAATTATAATTTCAAAATTAAAAAATAAAAAAAAATGTATTTTTTCCAATTCTCCCTTTTATTGTTTGTATATCACAATTTAATATTGTTAGTATAAAATATTATTTCAATGCATTACTATGTATTTATGATTCTTTCAAAAAAAGTGTTAATAATACATGTGTTGCAATGTAATAAAATATTAAAATTTTGCATTGTTTGCACTATAAAATTATATATTTTGTATGATACTAAATAGTCTAAGATTACAAATTAGTGATTTTAATTTTATTAAGGTTTAACAAAATTAAATAATCTTATTTCAGAAAATATAACAATGTGTTCAAAATTTCACAACAAGACAAAAATTAATATTTATGAATTTGAAGTGTTTCATTTGCAAAGGAAAAATAATAATAATTTTTCAATTTAAAATAAAAGTGTTAATATTTTAACATTATTATAAATCTTTATTTTAAAATTTCAAATTTATATTTATTTTTGGTGTTTTTTGAATTTATTTTAAAAGTTCAAGGGGTATTTTTATAAGAACATGAGGGGTATTTTTGCACTTTTTAAAAGTTCAAGGGTATATATGCACTTCAACATATACTTCAGGGGTATATTTTTTCTGAAACATTGGAATAAGGGTATATTTGTTCTCACACCTATAGTACAAGGGCATATTTGTACATTTTCCCTTTGTTTAAATTAAAGGGAAAATGGAAACTAATAATCCAACCTTTTAGCGGTCTTCTTACAATAATCCAACCTTTTGGTTATTCATGAATAATCCAACCTTTGCGCCTCATCTTCATTCACTGGTCCCTGACCGGTTGATGACCTGATATTCCAAGCTATTTTCCTATCTTTGCAAATCATTATACCATAAATCTCATCTTTTACAAAGATAATATTTTGCAAAGATAAGAAAATAACTTGGAATAGTAGGTCATTAACCGACCAGGGACCAATGAATGAAGATGAGGTGCAAAAGTTGGATTATTTATGAATAATCAAAAGGTGGGATTATTGAAAGAACACCGCTAAAAGGTTGGATTATTAGTTTTCATTTTCCCTAAATTAAATTCAACTTTACAAAGCTATAAAGCTTACAAGTTACAACGGTACAAAATGAAAATTTATTCCACGTCCCAAACATGGGCGGAGCTAGGGGTGGGCCAACCTAGGCCATGGCCCACCCCAAATTTTAAAAATGACTTAATTTTTAAGGTAAAAAAATTCGTGCAAAAGTTTTTCTAAAAATATTCTTTATACCGGCCCAGTGTCCTGGCTCCGTCCCTGGTCCCAAATTTTCTTCTCACATTGACTTGACATGTTTATTAAAAGTTTTGTGATTGTGATATGTGGATGATGTTTAAGGAGAAAAAAATATTTTCGTAGAATATTCACTTGGAGTTTTTTCAGTCTTAAATTAGACTACTTTATATCACGAGGCCAGACCTGTCTAAACAAATCAAACCCAGATAGGATAGGAGTCGAATTAGATTAGATTCAAACTTACTTGTTCAAACTATATGCTAAACTCAAATTAGATTTAAATAGATCATATTAGTTTTGATTAAACTAGTAAAATTTAACCTAAATGAGGAGGTCCCAACTATAAATGTCTTTCCTTAAAAATGAGAAAAAAGTTATGGGGCCGCAATGTATAACTTGTACGGAGTATATAATATCATAAGTTTTAAAGTTGCAAGCATAAAACATTGTTAGCTTTATTCTTTTATAATAAGGCATTTTATTTATGGGTAATTCTAACCACAGCCACTTATTTGCTAAACACAACCATGGTTATTTTTTATTCCAATTATATCCTTTACAAGAATAAATTAGCATTTTTCGTTTCGGCTCCTTCGCATGGCTTCTACCAGCACAGACTAGTCTACACTCTGTGCCGAAGATGAAGATTGTTGGAACTGACAACCGACGGTGAAGGCTGAGATGTAGATGAGGGGCTTCAAGACTGGCAACGAGGGCTCACCTACGGACTGCGGCTAACAAGGACTCACCTTCCAGGCCTGACATCCCACATCAGATTGCCACCCATTTGTGGTCAATCAAGCTTCATCCCACATGAGATATCATTACCTCAGCATATGAACATAGGAATAGATAGATATCAAAGTCCTTCGATATATATACGTAGTATACTTTAGGCATTACAAAAACAGATTCACTTAGATTTAATAGATATTTCAATGATGATGGGGTTTATAAATTCTCCATTCGAGTATAATAAAATGATCAAAGGTAGATTCAAAGAAATTTCAGACTAATCATCAAACAAGCCCATCCCGTTTTTTCTTCACTCTGTTCCTCAATGACCTTCTTCTTCTCTTCACCCGCCGGAGCAGCAGCGGCACCACCAGTGAATGGGGCAGCAACGAAAACCGCACCACATCCACCTATGTTCAGAGCTTGATCAACAATCGTAGCTACTTCTCTACCGTGACGAGGATGCCTTCGTGGAGTATCAGTGTGGAACATGTGCGAGGGATTTCAAGAACTTAAGTTAATATCTAAGGGTAACTTAGACTTTTTATAATTTAGGAGGCCGTGGATAGCAAATTAAGGGCCGCTAATAGAATTTCCCTTTATTTATTATTGGTTATTTTTTGGCAACTCATGTGGTGTTTTTTAGCATGGACCCTAAATGCATTTAGAGGAGTGCTATATATGCGACTCCAAGCTCATTTACAGTCAGAGCCGGCCTCGATCAATTTTTGGCCCTAGGCAAAAGAGCACCACAATAATTGAACCAAAAAAATAAGCAAAATAGTTACACAACATATTCTTCGTCATGCCGAAAATATTTCGAAATTTCAATTCTTAGTCAATGATAGTCTTGATCCATGATACTCTCTCTGTCTTTTAAAGCTTTGTCATATTTACTTTTTTGAGTCCTAAAAACTTTATCACATTCTCTTTTAATCAATCAATTTGTGGTTCTAGTCATTTCTCTCTCCTTTACCCCCAACCTCAGTCACACAGTTTTAACTTTATTACTGTCTGTACCAGTCAAACATGGCAAAGTTTTGAGAGACTGAGAGAGTATTTTTGGATTATTAAAATCCAAAAATATGAAAAAAAGTCTTTCTTAAAATTACTTTCATAAAAATAGAAAATTTATAAATTTTACATAAATATAATAACTAAAGTCATTGGAGGTATCCAAAATTGACTATCATTGATCAACAAGTCAATTTGGCCATATTTTTGTGGGGTGAAGATAATAGTTTTATATGTACTTAAAATATCTCTTTCTTCAATAAAAAAATATTACCTATTTGTTTATAGTCTATATAAAATTGCATTTCTAAACAATGAACACACATGGATAAGAATAAATAATACAATTTTGCTTTGAAGTTTAAAAAAAATTAGTTTCAATTAGTTTCATAGAAATGAACTTTTTATAATCAATTACAATAACTTTAGTACATTGTAAATCACTTCCTTTTTAATGAATGAAAACATAGAGATAAATTTTATAACTATGTAGCATTATTTAGGTGCTATTGTATTAATTAATGAAAATATCAATTATAATTAATTTTTAAACATAAATTAAGACCAATTCGATCACGTGCCTAAAAAATTTAGAGTTTTTTTCTAAATACTACTAAACTCAAACTTTTTACACAATTATGATTAATAGTTAATACACTACAGTGTCATGGCCACCTAAGCTTAAAAATTGAACATAAGTTATTATGATTATGTTACTACTATAATTACTAGTAACATATTTGTAAACAACTTTCATTTTAGTCATAAATATGTAATTATTTTAAAAAAAATCATTACAAATCACTTAGTTTAAAAAGTTAACTTTCAAAGGCAGTACATATTAATTTTCATTTATATCATTATTAATTTCATTAGTACTTATTTATATAATTATTTATTTATATATATAATAATTTTACAAAAGAAAATTAAAAATTGAGGCCCCTTTAGGAGTGGAGGCCCTAGGCAATTGCCTAGGGTAACTCCCATCAAAGCCGGCTCTGTTTACAGTTATGATAGTACGAGTGTTGGATTAGGCATGGACCCGGTCAAGACTGGAGGGTCTGTGCCAAAGAAAAGGGAGGCCCGTGACTGAGCCGCGGATAGCGGTCCCAAAGCGGGTAATATAGACCGGCTGGTTGGTATCTCGATTTTTTTTAAAACTATCTTAGCCATTGGTGGTGATCGGACCGGGCCCGAGATTGATGCGTACTAGTCCAAAAAAATTACACCCGGGACTGCGTAACGAAGACTAAGGACATGTTTACTTCAGTGGGTAATAAGGAGTGCTTATTAAAGATTCTCTTAACAAGCCATTTTTAATAAGAAGTGTGTAATAAAAATATGTTTACTTCAATTGAATGTCTTGCTTAGTAAGACAAATATATGTTTACTTCAATAGGATTAGAGTATGTGTTAATTGTAAAAGGTCTAGAATAACCTTCCGCTTATAACTAATACAAACCCTAAATTTCTGAAGTTGTAATTTTTTATGTGCCAATAGTTTGTTCTCAAAGAGGAATCTGTTAAGCCACCCATATCATTTCTATTTTTTTTTTTGAAAATAAGTGGAATGAAAAGAGGCACCGTGCTCAACCACAAAATCAACAGTCCATCTTCTCAAGTAACTTTATATTTTAATTTGGGATTAAAAGGATATTTGAGTGAGCTTCAAGGTTCAAATTACTAGATTGAAAAGGACAAGTCGGACA